TAGTCTGATGGGAACACCAAGCACCTATCATGTTATATCCACTGCCAGTTCAGGGGGTACATCCTGCTGCTAATGGGCTGTCAGAGGTTGTGCTATGCTGTCAGCTGACACCCCTTCTCCAAAAGGAGTTTCTCTTGCTGGAGAGAAGAGGTCACACAGCCTCTCTCAGTTGACAGAGAGCAGCAGGGGCAACAAGTTTAGAGTATGGCAGCAGTCATCTGGATGGCAGCGTCCACCCCAAGCCCCTGCCATGATGGCAGAAGCAGAAGTCACACTCCCTGTGCTGTAGCACAGAGCTTGCAAAAATTTTGGCCATGCTCATTCTACTTAAATTCTATCTTCCCAGAACCCATAAATCTGAGGCATTAGGAGGAAGGCATGAATATATTCTAGCAATATAAAAAGTAACGACTTAATATAGCTTTTTCTCCCCCCTTCATTCACAATCTCATGTTTTTAACATTTTGGCAACTGTCAAATCTTGAAGGGCTATAATGTGCGCTAGATAGAGAGAAGAGAGATTTTCCCTTTCTAGGATGGTGTGAACTGAGCCTGCAGAGAGCTTCTCCCCTCCTTCTAGATCAGTGCTTAAGCCCAGAGGCGAGTAATGACCATGTGCCTGCCTGCTGCGCTGTTCTAGGCTTGGGCAGAGATGTGGCACATTTCAACAGAAAGAGGAGAACATCTTATTTTATCAGTGGCCTCCCTTTGTATGAGGAGTCTGGCACGAAGAGGAGAAAGAAACCCACACAAGAAGGGCCATGAACCGCGGGGCCCTCTGGCCCATGTGCTGGGGCAGCCCGGGATGTGCTGGCAGCCCAGCCTTGCTCAGAAAGCATCACAGTCCCTCATCACAACCTGAGTAAAAATAACAACACCTCCTGTTAGCAATCGAAAGGTAGGAAAAAAGAAAAGAATAAAAAAGTGCATGAGAAGCACAGTGATTTTATAGTTTGAGCGCTGGCAGCAGCTCCGCGGCCTAATGGTTTCCATGACGATGGGGAGGCCCTGCCGCAGCCCTGCTCTGCGCGTGGGAGAAACCATCCCGGGGATGGAAAAAAGCACACTAATGTATTGGGAAAACCCCAGGACTGGTGTGGGACAGGAAGAAAGGTGGAAAACACGGCCCCAGAGAAAATTAAAGGAAGAGAGGGAATAATATAATGGCACGTGTAGGCTGCGTCCTCTTGGAGGCAGGGTCCCTCCCTCAGCCTCCCTTCGTGCTGTGGGGAGGACGTGTCTGCACTGATAGGTGTCCCCTTGGCAAGTTCATAAAGTCCAGATGGGATGTCTTAAACGTTGTAGACAGTGCCATTGGAGACAGAGAGTCCATTCTGTTGTTTATTATCTATAATATGTAGCATCCCAAAATCTCAATGAATGACAAACCCTAATGTGCTAGGCTCCATACAAATACACAATAAGAGAGTCCCTGCCCTGAAGAGCTTACAGTCTAAAAATGGTCCCTTATCTGTTATAATTTGGAGAGAAAGGAATTGGAGAAAGAGAAATGAGAAATCAACTTTTTTTTTTTTTCTGACTTGTTTCATCTTCTAAACAAAAACCACCATACATAAATGCTGAGATCATCATTTTCAGTCCCCATCATTAGCCAGATGTTCTTGGGCTGTGTACCCTGGAGCGAGCTAGTCAGACTGGTGAAAAGGCAACAGCTGTCCCAGGCTGAAAGATGCTGCAATATGAAAAAGGTACTCCAGCTTGATGGCAGAAACTACAGAATGCAGAGAAAGGCGGGTGGTTGAAGCAGTTTTGGGAAGGAAGCAGTGGGGCTTGGCTCCCCATGCCTGCTAAAATATAGCCACAAATTCAGGCTGCTGAAGGTCTCTGTGCCCCATATTCCCTGCACCTGGTTTTAGGAAATGGAAGCTTTGCAAAGTAATTTAAATATATATATATATATATATATATATATATATATATATATATATATATATATCTGTCTTTTCTTGGCTTTCCTTTTATGAGAAACTGTCGAAGCTTACTTAAAAACATACTTGAATTTGTGCATGTCTTGATTTATTGAGCTATTTATGATGGGCATAGATTTCCCTATGCCAAAAAACCCCCTCCCTCCTCCTTTCCCAGCCTAAGTAATCAGTTTCCTTGTGCTCCAGCCCACACTGGGCTATTTTCCTTGATCAAATTCTCCATCACTGGTTAAATAACTGAGGTGTGTGTTGGCTTTGTCTTTTTTTGGTGTGAAATGTTATAGTCATTAAAGTCTACTTTGCCCAAGTCCCTATCATCCTCTTAGTTCACTTGTACACTGTGCTTCTCTCCTGACTTACTTATTCTGTTAGACGTCTAATTTCAATATGCTGCTGCTCTCAGGGCTGAAACCAGGCTGAAACTCTGGTGTCCATGATGACCATCTTCATCTATCAAGGCTCCCAAGTGCTCTGAAGCTGCAATGACTTTGAGATATTTGAACTCTTTTGGGCAAGGATAATAAATTTTCTTGTCCAGCAGTCTTGGATGCTTCCCTTCCAGGTACTGCTGCCTGTGTTCCCCACAGCCTACATTGCTTGCATATCTTTTATGCTACCATTTTGTTAATGATCATACTTGGCATGGGCCCTGCCTTGCCACCAGGGTGTCCCCTTCCACACACACTCTAGCAGCTATCTTCTGACATCTGGAGACATGCTTCATTCAGAGTCTGTCACATGAGCCAATTTTAATCTAAGATGCTCTTTCCTGTTGAGATCACAGGTCCCTATCTAATTCAGCTCCCTGTCTGAGTAGAGTTGAGTCATAGAAGCTTTTTCTATTGCTACATCTAATAGTACTTTGCTATCAGGAGCAGAACATCAACCTGCTTGGCTGGGAGTTTGCACTGTCACCCAGCAGCCTTCCTTGTCTGGAAGTTGTTTTGATTCTTTTCTTAGACTTCTCCCTCTCTGTGTCTCTCTCTAAAACATTAATTTCCTCTAATTAGAGCCTCCTTAACAATTCTTTTTCCCCTCTCCTCAGTTAATTTCCTCTAATTAGAACCTCCTTAATAATTCTTTTGCTAAATCAATTTCCTTAGTTAGAACCACCCGCCATAATTTCTTTCCCTCCTTTCAGAAGCTGTCAGAGTAGCTAAGCAAATTATGCTTCTGGGTAACCTTTATCTCTTACTTGGTATTTTAAAAGAACTGTAACAGGTTAGACAGGCACAATTTCCCCTTCCAGAGCTATGCTGGTCTGACCCCATTAGGTTATACTTAGCTGAGTGTTGTACTATTGTATACTTAATTAGGCACTCTAGCTGTTTCTCTGGAACCAAGGTAAAGCTGTATTTATGAATGAATTAAACATGACACTTCATTATTCAGATCAGATTTAACAGTGTCAAAATCCATCTTTAAACCAGATCAAATTGCTCTCTAAGAATATATAAAACCTCCTACCCATTAGCTGTCCGAAGAGCCAACCATTCCTAACTTTTCTCTGCAATCATGCCAGCTTTTTTTCTCATGATGAGCCTTTTAGGTAGCAATTTGTCTAATACATGCTGTTCTTAAAAAGATTGGTTCTGTTTGTAATTTACAGAGTAAGCAAACATTAGTGGCACACTACCTTTCACAGTCATGCTGTGGTCCATCTCAGCAGCTGGTATAAAGGGGAGACCTGAGTTTATACCTTAGACCTGAATTTGCCTTTCTATATCATGCAGTTTCTTTCCAGCTGAGACTATATTTTGCATTTCTCTAGTTCTTTTCTTTAGGTTTGTTGAAGAATCCCACTGTAGTGGACCAGGGTCCTGCAAAGCAGCCATCTCTGTGTCTGATCTGTAAGAGAGCTACCAAGGAGAACTTGCTACCTTTTCTCATTTTGGGAAGGAAAGGGGTAGAGATTGGTGACAAGTGGAAGGATTCATTCAGTTTTAACAAAGTCTGTTTTTTAATTTAAATATTAATTTAAAAAAAAAAAAGGAAGGAAACATCTGAGCTGCAGGAACTTGCTCTCCCACTACCAGCAAGTGCAGCACTTGTAGCTGATAGTGTTCCTTTCTCTAATACTTATTTTTAAGTTAGCATCAACTACCATGCACAGATCTGATGGTTTCAACAAGTGTCCTTGTAAATGAGAGCACTACCCTGCTACCACGTATGATAGAATAGGGCCCCGATCACACGAGACAAGCCAGACATCTACTGCTCTATGGATTCATGGGACTGCTTCTAGTCTTCACAGCACAAGGACTTTTCTACCTGTTTTGGCTATGCTCAATATAAGCTGTGTTTACTGCTCAAAGTATTGATCGTAAATTGAGTGTCAACACACGCACTGAAAAGCCTGCTCCAGTAAAGCAGATGGGCCTTCTAAAACTTGTGAGGCGCCACCACCACCTAAAGAAAAATGCCTCCCTGGGTGAGTGCCTTCGATGCCACTTGGTACAACAAGTGAAGTGATGCATTAGGAATGCTCCACAGATATGCTACAAGGAGCTGGTGGAGGCTTGTGGCTACTCCATCCTTGTCTGTGCCACTCTCGGTTTTTAGGCAGGTTCAAAACATTCCAATCAAGTACAGCTACTTTGGGAAACCTGTACTATCACCTTCTTTCACTATTCTTTCTTTGTGACCTCTCCAAGCCCTCAGCACTCCACAAAGTCTATTCTGGTGTAGGTGGTACAGAAGTTGTAAAGTACATTTTATTTTCTTTGCAGATGTAGTAACTACACAGAATACTCCATTTGCAATCACTTCTCATGGAATTTTGGGGTAGGTACGCATGGAAAAATGAAGCATTAAGGTTTTTGTTATTGACAAAATCCCTAATGTTTTAGATGGGAATAGGAATTTTGGGGCAATCTTACAAGGAGCCAAATGCTGGTGGTGCTGGAGAAAGGGTTTTGGGGAAGGGAAGGTTCTCTAAAAAGATAGGTTTGGAGGTTCAAAAAAAAAAAAAAAAAAAAGTTTAAAAAAAAAAAAGAAAAAAAGCTGTCTGGTTCTTCTTAGAAGAGATGAGAGAGTTGGAAGAAGGTTGGAATGTTCAGAGCGACAACTAAACAGAAGAGACACTGTTCTCTCTATGCTCCTTGAAGAGTTCATCTTTTTGTCCTCCAGTCCATTCCAGCTGAGGAAGAATGGCTAGAGATAGAGATAGGCAATCCAGTAGACGATATTGAAGAGCAGGAAGGCAGTGGGGAAGAAGACACGGGAGTAGGAGTCCAGGCGGGAGATATGAATGCGGACCCTCCCCTCCCGCCACATCCCTGTCTGACAGTCCTCAATGCAGCAGAAGAACCTCTCACATTCCTTTCCTTCCAGGCATGGAGAGCCAGGGTCATCATCGTCATCCTCCTCTATCTCTGGAGGCCAGTGCATGATGTTGTTGATGTTGATGTTGATAGCAGTAAAGGATGGCATCACCTGTGCGCCAGCAGGTGGCTGTAATGAGGAAGGGTAAGTGGATTAAAGGAAAAGAAAATGCAAGAAAACGTGCTTTATTCACCAAAAATTATTGAACTGTCAGTTGGTCAGTTCATAACATAGGCACAGTGCAGTGGAGGGACATGACTGTTCATCTCCCTTCTCTGCATCTGATTGGCATACTGCAAAGATTTGGCAGTTACCTGCATGACTGTGAGTTTCCTCCCTGGCATCCTGGGGTGCAGATTTAGGCAGCAAAAATCTACTTGTTATGATTCCCCAACTTTGCCACAGTCAGCAAGCAGGGTGTTTGCTTTCCAGCTGTACTAGCCCCTTCCCTCATTCCCCTGAGCTCTGCTGTCTCTGAGGGCAGAGCCACAGTCCAGATACGTCTTGTAGTTGCCGTCATCTGCTGGAGGATAGCTGGGGCAAGGCTGTTTGCAATTCTTAACGTCGTGCCCCAGTAGAGGAGGCATATCACCAACCTCCTGGAAGAGCTCTCTCCACCTGTGCTGGGAAAGGAGTGCGGGAAGGTAGAGATCTGCCTTTTTGTTTTCAGTTGGTGTCGGCTCAGAGGCCTGTTTCATCTGATGTGTCAGATGTATCTGCACTAAGCCTAGGCAGATCTCCAGAGGATTATGGCATCTCTGGGTTCGCTGTCTCCACACTCAGCAGATTTTCTGATGACAGACCACAAAAGACAGTAAGTCTCTGCATCTCTGTGACCTAAGATACTTATGTAATCCTTAAAGATTAAATCTGTAAAGACTGAAAAGCCTGGGCGTGGATTGCTCTATCTTGAAGTGGACATTTATGTTTAGTCATGTAAACTATACTGACAAGCTCTCCAGCAATTGAGCACAGGGTTCCTGGCCCCAGCAGAGACCTCCTTGTTTTATGGGAGTCTCGGGGGATTTTTCTGGTTGTGTCTGAATTTCAAGTTCTCTGACCCAGCACACAGATTGGTTTGAAAACCTTATGAACAAAGTACATGTCAGGCACTGAACAACTTCAGCAGTTTCCAGTGCAGGCTTAGGACAGAGATTCCTAAATGACTTGGAGTTCTAACAGTATGCAGCTCTGCTGGCTGGTCGCTTCAATTTACCAGTCTGGCTTTCCTGCTGTTGTGCTGCAGTGGCTTCTTGTTTCCCACCAGGTAGTTGAGTGTAGCATACTCCATGAGGGCTGCGAAGACAAAGATGAAGCACACAGACACAAAGAGGTCCATGGCTGTGATGTAGGAAACACGGGGAAGGTGCTTGCGGGAGATGGTACTCAGTGTGGTCATTGTTAGCACAGTGGTGATACCTAAGAGAAAAAAAAAGCTAGTTCGGGTAACGAAGAAAAGCACTTCTGTCTTCAGCATGCTCTCAGCCCCTCAAACACCTCAATTTTCCCTCTCCTGCGGGAGAGAAATGACTTTAGACGTCTGGTCCCTTTTTTGCTCTGCTTAGCCAGACTCTGGTCCTGCAGTAACCTCTGACAACGCATCATGGAAAAAGAGCTGTTTGAAACCAGAACATTGCACAGGCTATAAACATGTACTGGTAAAGGAGCATGGAACTTGAACTCTGTTTAAGGCAGCATGCAGAGTTCAATGTCTTGGATGCTAGGAAATAACTGCTAGGCAGATGTCTTTGGGAAGGCAGTGGATGAATTGTTCTCCCTTTGAGTATTTGTCCCCAGGATAAAATTGGCCCAATGGCTCATCAGCTGGATGGGAGATGGTAATAAATCTCTTGTGGCTCAAATGGGGCTTGGAATGGATTTCTAAGTAGCATTAGTGCTCACAAACCTGTTTTCAGAGATCAGGCATTAGGAACCAATACACGATCAGCTCCAAGAGTTGGTATTGTGCTCTCAGCTACTGATTTTAGGATGTGGAGGAAGCTGTGGAATTTCACCTGCTCCTCTTTCTCCAGCACTCATCTAAATCCACCTGTCACAGGTGCTCACCCCCATTGGCTCGGGGTGGGAGCACAGCACGACATTTTCATATTTTCTTACTGCATTTGCATTAGCAACTGCAATGCAACTTCCCACACATTTGAAATGCCAGTGGAGCTGGTCCAGTTAACATCACTCTAATGTAGGCCTATGGGCTTGAAATGTAGTGGGAATCATACATATGAAGAATGCACTACTCTTGATGTGCCAAGATCCTTTCCTACAGCAAAGGCCTGCCTCCTGTGAGAGCCTGCCCCTATTTTTTGAGACACTCACACTCACCACAATGGTGTCCATTTGCCTCTTGCCGTTCATTCCTTCCACAGCCATGGACTATGATGTACCTCCATTGGAAATGACACCCTTCTTTTCCTCCTGACCCTATCCAGGGCTCTGAAGAAATTGATTTTGATAGAGAGGTGGGAAGGAATGTTCAGAATGGATGGGTTCTGAATAGCCCTGCTGATGCTGACAGCCCCGTGTCTCTCCTCACCCAGCAAAGGCCTGCAGGCAGGGCTGGGAATGCTACCTTCAATAACAGGGAAAGTCAGATGGGCAGGGTGGAGGGACAGCACTGGGAAGCTGAGCTTTCTGCAAAATACAGATACAACTGAAGTGCATTAAAGATTTGTAAAGCTCTCTCTAGCTCCTATCAGAGCAGGATTCAATCAACATGAGCTTCATCCTGCCTCAGAGAGCCACTGTAGATTGCAGAGCAGATCTGAACAACAGGTAGAACTGTTGGCATTCTCTGAGCTCCCACTATGGTGTAATTGACAAAGTCTGTACCTACTGGGCTTACAGCTCCTGCTGGAGTTTGGGATTCTGTTTCTATGGCCAAGCAACTTTGCTCGTTACCCTACAACCTTCATGTGACTGGACCTACAGTGAGCCCCCAGGAAGTGATGAGGCATGTGGCTGGAGATCTTCAGTCAGTGCTGCAGTGCCACAGTACACCCCTTTTCTCTCCCTTTTCAAGCGTAAGAATAACACATTGTCAGCTTAAGAAGACTGTGTTCAGAACTTAGATCAAGAAATGAGTCTTTTGCCATCTTAAAGAAGTCCAGTAGTTCAGGCAAACACAGATAGATAGAAATTCAGCTGAGCTTAAGGACAATGCTATAAAAAGAAAGGAGGATGGACTTCACTAAACTGAATAACGCCAGAATGCTTTAGGAGCTTTCATACTCCAACACTTCCAGTCTGCTAGTGTTGCAGCAGTAGTCAACAAGCAACATACATGAAACAGTCCTTCTCTTACCCAGAGACGTCCTGGCTGGTGTAGAGTCCCTCTTGATCCAGAAGGAAACCCAGGAGAGAACAACAGTCAGGATGCAGGGAATGTAGGTCTGAATGGCAAAATAACCCATCCTCCTACTTAAGTCAAAAGAAACTGTCATCACCATGTACTCCCCTAGAAAACAAGAAATGAAAGAGACACTGGAATCATAACATGTAGTTTACCAAGGTACAGAAAGTTGTAGAATTTGGAGTGTTTCTGTTGCAGTTTACTGGTTGTTTTAAGTGCCCATCTGGCTGTTCTTGTGCCTGACATTGTGACTGCTCAGCTTGCTAGCTTCACAGATAGCAGTGTGCCTGGTTGAGGCAGACTTTGTGACTGGCTGGCATTGTGCTGGCTTGCTGTTTTAGCAGTTAGTGGGCTCAGTGGCTACATCATTGGCAGGCTGGCTCTGTGGCTGAGTTTCTGGCTTCACGACCAATTTAAGAGCTGATTTTGTTTTTGCCTAACTGGCCAGCTGGCTGCCATGCACACTGAAAAGCACTCTGTTGGGGAAAGTTTCAGGAGCGTATTCACCTTCAGCTGATTGCTTCAATGGTTTCTTTTCTATAGAAAGCTTTTTAGCTATAACAAGGCTACATGGCCTATCTTGTCAACTAACTACCTGAGCTGCAACAAAGAAGGTTCCTTCAATCAGTTCTTAGATTCTGGTTCTATCCCTGGAAAAGTTACGTAGTGGTAGACATCCTAATTGTTCATTTTGCTACTCACAGCTGAAGTTCTTCCTCTTTTTCAGAGGCTTATAGTGAGGACTGAAAGAAAGCAACCTGACAATTCTAGGGTTAAGATGGAGCCTGCAGGCAATTACCAAGAAAGAGAATTACAAATGGCAAACTGGTGCATTCCAGACACTTTTACTGCACCACTCCTCATCGTGGTTTGTGCTGCTTTTCTATCCAAGTTAGGGGCTGTCTGCCAGCACTGGCAATAGTAGCTCTCTCCAGGGTGGGAGAAGCAATGCTCGAACTTGCTGCTTCAGGGGACTGAAAAATAAGAACCACATACATTTGACTGTATAGTCAGCAATCCGAAGAGGCTTTTCTTGGTTGTCTATGGAAAGAAAAGGGGATGTGAGGAGCTGAAGGGCCTCCATTTCTTTATCCTTCATACATGCAGCATTTCTTCTGGCTCTTAAATTATAGTTCAGATGTTCAGCCTCACACCACTTTACAGAAGGAAAGACCAAGAATTGAGAAAGACCAGAATTGAGATCTTCGAGTTCTGATTTCTCTGTGTTCTGATTATAATCACTCAGGAATTTACATAGCATTCACATACTTCTTTCTCATAACCCTTTGACTAGGGATAGCTTCAATCAGCACTGTCACCCCTAAGTGTTCCTGTGTCTGTGTTCTGGCCTACACTGCTTTGACTTTGCTGCACCCTTCATCTTCATTACTTCTGCTCCCATTAGCAAAGGTCCATCTTTCCTTTCTTAATGTTCCTCTAACTGTACTGTTGTGACCTCCCCTTCCACCCACAGAGTAGTCTGGTGGCCTCTGCATCTCACAAGGTCTCTGACGTACTGGTGATTCCGTGGGCTGTCTCCGTTTGCCTCACCTGCTCCAGTCCTGAGAACTTCCGAGGTGTTCCTCAGCCCTGTGAAGTCAAATTGGTAGAGCCTCCAGGTGCGCTGGTCGGAGACCTCAATGGAATAGCGTCTCCATCGATAGACAATCTCCTCACGTGGGTAGCCATCTGGGGAAAGGAGAACGACATCAGCAAGAGAGTACATGGCATGCCTCCCTCTCATACACCACCTTGGTTTACAAAAGTACAAGCATCGTATTCTAGATCTTCTGTAAACATGAAGTTTTCAGGTAGATATTTCTGATGCCCTTGATCAGATCACCTTAGGTGTTCCTGCATTCAGTGGCTGCAGGGATTGCATCTCCCTTTGTTGACCACTTTCAGTTGTAGGGAAGGGAAGAGCAATGCTAGAAATGCAACCTGAGGACTGCAGTGGTGGGAATTAGACTTGAGTTGGCGTAGCAGGACTCCCCCAGCATGAAGTCTTTAAGGGTTTCAGCATCCCTTGGCAGCATGTAGCCTTCACCAGTCCTCGTGGCTACTCTTCCTTCCCAGATATCAGTACACCACGAATACAGAGCTGCCAATGTGGGAAGAAATGTGGAAGAAATGTTCCTGCTCTAGGTCTCTGTACCTCTCAACCTGGGAGCTGGTCTGTGTATGGAGATGAAGGGTTGTGTCTTCCATTGAGAAGGAGATCTGGAGCATGGCTTCTCCTGGTTCTGGCTTTCTTGGCAAAGAAACAAGCCTACTGTGAAGAAGAGACCTTGACACCTACAAGAAAGCTCCTCAGAGGAGGAAAGGAGCAAAGCTTGGCAGCTAAATCAAAGTGTGTTTCTAATTATCAAGAATGCATAGCATGTACAGTTAATTAGCAAAGAATGAGGGATGGCAAAAGATGAGGCAATGGTATCTCCTCAGCTTGTTGCTTCCTACAGAAGCAACTCAGAGCCATGTGAGTTGCATCTCCTCTGTGGCAGGGGAAGCAGGAGAGGCCAAAAGAGGACTACAATGAGTAAATCAGATTTCCAACCAATGTGTGAGGACAGGAATTTCTCAGTGCAAAAAGGCAAAATTATCAATGGAGATAGAGCATTTCTGTTCCAATGGGTACTGAAAGTACTCAAAGCTGGAGTCTCCCTTACTCTGTCCCCTTGGAGAGCAGGAAGAGAATGAAGTTGCAATGCGGAATATGTTGTTTAGAAGGTGAGAATGACAAGAAGGTCAGTGAAATGAACACCTCCAGCTGTCCACCCAGATAAAGAAGAAACTCAGAGGTGCTGTGAATCTGTATCTGAATACCTCTTCTAGACCAAGACTGGGAGGATGCTCTAGGGAGTGATCAGTAATGGCCCTCGAAGAGGAACACAGAAATCAGATGAAAATGCAGATAAAAGGGAAGAGGATCTCCTTTAAAAAGAGTTTTACTGTGCTGAAGTTTCTCTGCTTGCCTTCTAAAACTACTTTTAAAATATGGATACTCACAACTAGAAAAAACCAAAGGGCAGGAGTGAGTGTCCATTGGGAAATTCTGCAGCTGGAGCAGACATTCAGCCTCGATCGTCAGCCTGAGAGAGAAAGGGAGAGAGAGCGAGGCTGATGTTTTGTGCTAGCAAAGGTGGTTTGATTTCAACACCATAATGTGACAGAGGGATTCTCGCTTCCTTAAAAGAGAGACACTGATTTGCTGAAGATCAGTCTGGTTGCAGGAACATTTCAAAACAGCAGCAAAACAAAGCATACGTTTGGATATTTTCGAAGTGAGGAAAAACATCTAATTTTCACATTCAACAAGCCTTTTTGTTTAGTGAGCTTTTCAGATTCATTTCCGAGAGCGGGAATTTATGGCAAAAGCACAGATGTTTATTATCAAATCAAAATGACTGGGCTGACCAACACAAAAATTAAAACAATTTTCATGTTGGAAACCATTTATACTTCTGACTTCTGTCTCAGTACGATACAGAAAAATAGTTTAACATTTTGGGGGGGGGCTCTTTTCTTAGGAAGAGGAGGCCCATTCTGCAACCATATTGCAAGTCTTAGAACATTGGCACTGGGGACCATCTCCCCTACTCTGTCCCAGAACAGCTGGAAAATGCTGCCTTGACCACCTCCTTGCTTCCTCACTTGAGCAGCCAGCTGTAGGACCTTCTGCACATACCTGAGCGTGTAGAGCACTTTTCCATCATTCCAAATGCGGAGGAGCTGATTTGGGGTGGTTATCCAGTGAGAATCAGCCCTCTTGGAGTTCCTAAAAAAGGTATCTGGGATCCAGATGCGGCTCACCATGTTAGTGTTCAGTGTGAGGGCCTTCAAGGTGCTGTTGAAACGAAGACGCCGGTCGTACCATGTCTGAGCAAAGAAGATATCAATGGTGTATTCCTGTGAAAGAGGAAGAAGAATACATCTTTCTGAGATGGATTCAGGAAAAGCACAGCTGTGTCCCCTGGTCTGGAGGCCGCTGATTTAGACTCACAGTCAGAACATTTACCTCTGGAATTTGGGAGCCAGTGTTTGTATCCACTGACAACTTTCCTAGCTCATCTCTGGCTCAGGGTCAGGACATCCACAGCACACGTGGGAAGAGCCAAGCACTGTGCAGACACCGACTAAATCCAGTCCTGAGTTCAGCTGCACATTTCAAACATAGCAAGGAAAGCCATTTGCCAGCTAGCCAGAGAACACAGACAGCTTTTTCTATTGTTTATCAGAACAAAGCCCAGCAGTGCTCTATACTCCTAATTTGTACGTGTAGCCAGAGTGGTGTTGTGCATTAACCCTGTGAAATACAGAACTCAGAGTGTAAATCATTTATATGAATAACTGAGACACTAAAGGTTCCTGGGCAGATACATGTTGCTGAAGATTAGAAAAGGAAGCTTCGGAAGAGGTGCTATGGATCCATCTCTTTTTTTGGTGCAACTGGTTCTACATTTGTTTGAGTATTTTGTAGACAGAAAACAGGGTTTCCAGCATAATGAGAACTTTTGGTTTTAGTGAGAGACAGAGTACCCAGCTAACCCATAACTAGCACTTCTGGGAGGCAGCTCCTCATCGGATTGGACTGGCACTTCTTCACATCATTAGCCCAGCATTCTGCTGCTTGCTGCTGCTGCTGCAAATCAGTTTGCTCCTTACACTTTTTTTCAGTCTGTCGGAGAAGGTGCTAATTAGTGCCATGCAGGAACACGTCTGGCACTCAGTGGTTGTCTGAACCAGGCCCCCAGCCTGAATGCAGGTCCACCAGCCCATGCTGATGGCTGTGACCTGCTCCTGACAGCTCCTCTTTGACTTGGTCTTTGCTCCCTGTCAGTGTTAAACAACCACGACCATGGAAGCATTGTTTCCTTCTCTTTTGGGCAAAGGAACGTCTGACTTTGCCATCTCTCTTCCTTCCTCTATTGATTTATCTCAGTGTAATTTTAATAACTGTGGCATGTCCTCCCTTTGCTGCTCTCACTGCTGGTTCAGATCTCACTTCTCAAACCATGCCATTAAAATAAATGTGGTGCTCCTAGGGCACTCCCTCGGACATTGTGTCCTGCCTGGAGGAGGCAGAGCAGGGCAACGCACAGCTCTCTGCTTCATTTTCCTCACCCTTGCGCTGCTGTCAGCCAACCAGTAATGAATGATTCGTACCAAAAATGTCCCTTGCATAGGAATGAGACCATAAAAAAAGAGCATTTGCCATCAGGTGGTCAATTCACTCTCTAGGCTGATCCTTCACCCTGGTTAGACAAGGGGATGAGCCAAGGTAATGAAAATGAGGTCCTAAAATAGCTCTAAATAAAAACAGATGCTGCACATTAAGCTAAAGCAAGTTAAAAGTGATGGCATTGCCTCCACAGATGATTCAAAACAGACACGAGGAGGCACAGTGTTCCAGAGTCACATAGCTTGGGCAACAGCCGTCCTTAAAGCCAGATGCACAAGCCTGCCCGATGCCTGAACAGGTGATGGGGAAAGACCCCTCCAGCATCTGAATGCCCTGAATCACAATGGGTACTGCTAGGAAGTGGGGTATGTGGTGATGGAGGCATGGCTTATACTGTGAAATAATGAGATAGAGATCACAGGCAGGCGAAGAAGCACTGGCACAGCACAGACAAGACGGGAGTGAAAGCCCAAAAAACCAACACTCCTTGGGGCCATTTTCTTTTCCTTGACAGATGCTGGGGCCAAAGTAACACAACACTTGACATTTATCCCAAACTTCTGAAAGCCCTGTTTGAGTCACTACAAGCTTACATTGCTCCTCCTCAGGAACAGGCATAGGAGAAAACAACAACAACAAAAAGGCAATGATATATCTAGGTTAGATGCCACCCATCAGTTCTACCACTTAACTGGAAAATCCTGGGACATCTCAACATAGGGTTGGCTGCTCAGGTCAGAGGACCTGCTGTGAAGTTCATTATTCAGGTCTAGGACAACCAATGCTAAAGTTTCAGTAGAGCTGAGGGTCAGACATCCCAGAGCACTTGCTGTCAAGCCCAGGCTTTCAGAAGGGATCCATTAAAGAGCTCCTCTTATGCCATTAACAGCCTTTGCAAAAAGTATAGCATACAAGTCAATCAGCTCTTCTGAAAAATCAGAGCTGTTATTGTCACTGTCTTGTAGTCTGATCCAATTTCAGTGGCTCTTACTCATGAGGAATCGCTCACTGGCTGAGGTAGGTCCCTTGCCTTCAGATGGGGAGCCCACTGGGAAACGCTGCCATTTACAAATGCATTTTCATTCAGAATTTTCCAAGGTAAGATTTATACAAAAACGTATACATCTGGCATTTGGGCATCTCACCAGTAATTCTGGCTATTACTATGAATAACTCACTGCCTTTTCTGGATGGCCAGTCCTCTGATCCTTTTGATATTGCGCTTTTCACATTCCTCCTTCCTCCAAGTAAGTATTTGTGAAGGGAATGCTCTGCTGTTCCACAAGGACCTTCTGACCTTGTGCTTCACTTCTCATTAGGAGACTATCACTTACATGACTGGCTGCAAAGCTGCCCAAAGCACCAGCACTGAGCAACAAAAACAGCGTGGAGTGACACTTTTTCTTTCCATGGATCCTACCTCAGAAGACTCACATCACTGTTTCAGTGAGATCCATTCCATGGAGCTGGACATCCAGAAAACAACCTGCTGCTCTCCAAGGGACCTGGCAGCAGGATGAGCTCAGCCCCTAAAACTTAAGGAAGTGCTGTTCCTTGAACTCCTGCACCCGTGCGTTTTCTCTCTGCCACTGATTCATTCTCAAGCATCAGAAGGAGACTTCTCTACACCTCAATTTCCCATGTGAAAAAAGGTTATTGTAAAAAAACGCCTCCAACATTACGGTACCATCTGCTGTGTGGCACATGGAGGTTGTTAACTTCTCTGTAACAGCATAGGCTTTTTAGGATTTTTCAACAGAAGGAACTAGAGAAAAAAAGAGGTCTCACTCTAAGAGTTGGGCTGTGCCATTTGGATCACATGTGGAGTAGCACACACATTTTGACGTGAATGCAATCTTACACCAAACTTCAGTTATAAAATAATATAGTAATCTATCGGTAGAGCAAACACTGAAATACATTGGAACACTCATGCGTTTATCTAAAGCCAAGGAACACCCTGCAGCATCAGCAAGGATGACCAAGAAATGGAGACCAAGAAACAGGTTCTTTCATTTTCCTCTACTGGAGAGAGACCTTGGAGAAATCCAAAATAACTGGGATGAGGAATTAATACCCTAGGTATTCTAGCTTTTATTGCTCTGATATTTTTCTCTATTTGTGGCACCCAGTTCCCTCTGCATCTCCAAGCACATCTCTTGTGCAGCACAACAAAGCAACCTGCTTGCCAGGGAAGCATGGCTAGCATTTCAGGTGGTCTGACATGAATTTGCTGGGTCCACGCTGTCACTTCATCATGGAGCTAAACAAAGCGACTGTTTCAGGCACACCCTTTGGGATGCTGCACCACTCAGTAAAATCTAAGGAAATATTGGAGGAGACCCAGGAATGGGGTACATTTCTTTCAAGGCCTGTGGTGGGTGCAGCTCATGCTAGGAAGCTTCTCCTTCAGATCTAGCTGCACTGAGCAACTCCCCACCCACACAGCCTTGTGCAGGCGAGCATTTCCCACTCCACAGCATCCCACGCATCCCTCCCTGCCTGCAAACAGATCTGACAACACCTGAGCTGCTCCCTGCAGTCAGCTTCACATTGGGGGGAACACACAAAAGGTCTAGAGAAGCTCTTCATGCTTTGATAGCTAAATAAAATAACCTTATTTCAGAATAACCTTCAAATCTGATGCAGAATTTCTTGTCCACCGAGACTGTGAGCAGAAACATCCTTCTAGAATGATGTGTAAGCACTGTTAAAAGGCAGCAGAGCGTACTTCTACTGACAGCAGTGGCTGATGCCTGCCAGAGGTTGGGCAGTGCCAGGATTCCCCTTGTCCTGTCACTGACCCACAGTAACGACCACTTTGCTCTGAATGCCCCCATTTCCCTGCTCCAGTGCTGCTCCTAAATGCAGGGTGTGATGGAAAGGAAGGAATAAACCTCCAGTGCAACAGAACTGTGCAAACCTCAAAGTGAAGGGAGACTCAGTTTTGTCTTCCCAACACAAAGAGCAAAAGAAGGAGAATATAAATTTCACTATGTTTGCAAGATCCTCCTCTCCAAATCACATCCCAGAGAGCTCTCTGGCCATGATGCTGGAGTGACTGGGGGAACTCTCAAGGACAACAGGAACAGAGCTCCAATGATCTGCGTTTTCAAGGTGACACACTGAACTTCCCATCTGTTTCACTTCTGCAGTGCCGTCCTTGTCTGAATGTCTTTTGCCTCTGCCCAGGGAATCTCAGTTGAGACAGCATTCTTTTTATAATACAATCTCGCTGTTAAAAACCGTCACCATGTCCTGTGCTCTTGTCAGGTGCCTTTAAACAAGTCATGCTGTACACGCTGTGCTGTCGATTGCAAACTCCCCAACCATGGTTTGCTCACCTTTTCAGTCTCTGCAGATAGAACTGGACAGGGCTTTCAACACCAAGCACTGCCTCCTGAGATCTCTGCCTGCCAGCTCCCATGCATGTGCAAGCAGGGACACAGTGCTCAGTCCCAGCTGCACAAAAAGAGACCTAAACTTTGAGATATCTTTCCTGTAGTGCAGTTCCCTGTCAGAGCTTCCTTCACATAAAACAGGCAACAATGGTGAGGATGACAAATAGAGTTACAGATTCCAAAATAGGCAGCTGTAGTTCTGGTAACTTCCAGGTCCCCAGCTGCAGACCACCCTGTGCCATAAAAATTAACTGGTTTGCTGACACAGAGCGATTTGAGCGTGTTTGAATGCTGGCCATCCTGCTTTTGAGTAACTCTGCTGACCA